TGTATGCCAGCGTTTTTCTTTTTAAGAAATCTTATATAATTACAGTAAATGTTCTTCTGTTGGCCTGATGTATTCACTTCAGAATACTGAAGCCCATATTTAAATGGCATTGTCGGAGATCCTTGATTTGCAGTTAGACCACTCCATTATTGCATAATTCAACTATAGCACATTTGACAGCGCAAATCTCTACCTATTATGCATAGTTAGTCACATTTTTGAAATTCTGACATCTGTTCTTGAAATAGGCAAGTCCATAAACCGTCATACACCGTGTGCATAATTATTAGGTACGTTAATATTCTGATGATATCTTTTTCCCCAAGCACATTTTACCAATTCCTAACCACATCAATCTTAATAACTACTATAGATTTTGTATTTAATCATTTATAAGTGATATATCATTGTCCATGAAGGCTGGATGTGGAAACTCATATTCAGGTGTGCATAATTATTTGGCATGTTTTCTTTTAGAATATATCAATTACATTGTGTACTAAGACCTGACTAATGCCTGAAAATAGGCTTATTGGAAGTTACCAAGCTGGGGACTATTTTCAGGCGCTGCGTAATATCATTGCGCCTGCTGCACCCATGGTACGGCAGCAAAGTTCCCTGATTATTACGCTGGAATGAGAGTATAAAAGAAAAAAAAAGAGAGAAAATCACAACTTTTCATTTTCCGTCGGTCTTAGTACACGGTGTAGCTACAGAAGAGTCAGGTTTTAAATAGGAAAAATATAGAAACTATTTGGTCATTTTTGAGCGAGATGCTAACGGTCTAATCAGATGGCAGTTGGAAAATGAGCCTATTTTCAAAAATAGTGGAGTTTTCCTTTAATGTTAGGAAAGAATTGACTGGTCTGTACACACCATTGGTCGTTTCTATCCCCCTAGTAATAAACATTTATTCATTGTATTTACTTTCAGGTCTACAAAGTTTGTGCAACAATCTGCAAACTAAAGATACCAACAACTATAAAGGCCTGGGATGGATACTATGAAATTCAAGAACGTTCTATCCAAGATTGATCTGGACAGATTATAGTTACACTTTGGGAAATGCACATCTCCCAACTTGAACTAGATAAATCCTACACTTTCAAAAATCTTAAAACTAGACAAATCCAAAAACATTAAGAAGCTCACAACAACTCCCAGCACAACCATAGAACTCATTCAACAAGATGAAGTCTTTCCACCTGGTCAGGGCCTTCAAATCATTGAGGAGCCCCCTACCCCAACTACAGTTATAACAGTAAAACCAACAGGGGCCCAAATAAGCATAAAAATGGTGTCCAAAATGCCACAAAGCTCAGGAAAATTTCAGTGTGAAACAAGTGTCACACTTGTAAAATTCTGCACAAAACGTACAACTATATAACAAAATGCAATGCCATTATAGAACTCGAACAAGACTGTCGCATAATTACCCTTACAATTTCGAACCCCATTCTTGCAAAATTCATATCGCAGGACCTTAACTTGTCTACCTGTGACTCTCAAGATATTGAGGAGCTTTTTCTAAGCACTGACGCGCTCACAATCACTTACTATGATTGTTTAGAAATCATCAATGTAGAACAAACTTCTTCAGCTCATCCCAGCGACATCGATGGGCTGCCAATGTTCAACAGCTCAAACGTATCCCTCTGGCCAGTTCTCTGTTCCAAAAACTTGTCACCAGAATGTATTTCCCCCTGTGCATATCCACTGCTGCTTCCAAACCCAAAACACCAAACTTTGCCTCTGACACTGTTTAGCAGTTGGCAGAACTAATCCAGGATGGTCTGACTTGGGGAGGCAGACGCTTAAACATCCAACTACGATGTGTTACCTGCGATGCTCCAGCTAAAGCTATGGTAGTGTATAAAGCAGTTTTCTGGATACTATAGGTGTGATAAATGCGATCAAAGGGGATCTTGGGATGGTCGAATGATATATCCAGAAACAAATAACCTGACCATGAGAACAGATCTGTCATTCAGGGAATGCTGGCAACCTGAACACCATCATGAAGAGGAGATCTCACCCTTCTCTGTCCTCCCGATCAACATCATCAAATCATTCCCCATAGATTACATGCACCAGAGCTGTCTCGGGGTAATGAAAAAGTCGCTGCTCTTGTGGACAAGGGTGAGAACAGATTTCTGGAAGTCATCAGGAGATGTGACCCGTGTAAGTGACACTAAAGAAGTCCATTCCAGATTGCTTTGCCAGGAAGCCAAGGGGCTTGAAGGAAATAGACTGCTGGAAAGCAACAGTTCAGACAGTTTGCTATCTACACGGGGAAGATTGTTCTGAAGGGATTGCTCCAAGACCAGCTCTATGAACACTTCTTGAGCTTCAGCACGGCTCTTTGCATGTTGCTGAACCCAGATCTCACAAAGTCACAAGGACCTTATGCAAACCAGCAGTGGAGATATTTTGTGGAGAGAGGACGGGAGCTGTATGGAGGAGACATTTTGGTTTACAATGTCCATTCCTTGCTGCACCTTGCAGAAGATGCCCAAAACCTTGGCAGCCTTGACAGCTGCAGTGCTTTCAAGTTTGAGAGCTATCTTCATCAAATGAAAAAAATGGTCCAATCTAGGAAAAATGTTTTGGCACAAGTTCCAAATCGTCTGGAGGACACATCCAAGTCCAAGATAGAAATCAAGGAAAACGAAGTGCCCAAACAATGCCTTGAACAAATGTTGCGAGGTGGTGTCAGGACAAGCGGACGACAGTGTTATGCAGGATGTACACAAATCTACAGCCATATCTGACGACACCATATGATTCACGTCTCTATGGAACATACATGAATGGTGGTTATATCTGCAGGACCTAAAGAAAGGAAACTCGCTGATGGCTTAAGGTGCACACTGCAATCAGTTACTTACTTAATGTAGAAGTATAATATAGGATTGTTTACTATGTGGACAAAACGATAGTTCACAAAAAAGTCATGGCATTTACTCGTCCTCATCTCATTCCAAAACCATATTACTTTCTTTAACACAAAAACATGTATTATATGTTATGATAATGGTGACTGAGTCTGTAAAAATGTGCAACTTATTTTTCAATATTATTTTTAATTTTCAGGAGTACCTTGTATAAAGGTGTTACCAGCGACCTGCCTGACCTCTCAGTCCTGCAAGTGGCAGAGGTGTATAAGGACTTTACCAGCACGACAACCCCTTTAGTCACCACAATGGGGATGTCCAGTGATGATTCGTTGGTGGATTCTGCTTTCGGTAAAGTTTAGGCTGGGAGTGTTCTGTCATACCAACAGCCAGCAACAATACTCCCCATCAAGATGCCCCACCACAACCACCTCTGCCACTAGATGGTTACAACCTTGACCCATCTGTGTGCTTATTTGTACATAGCAAACATGGACTGCTGCACGTGAAGTCACTGGCAGTATCTCTGGAAACAGCACACAAGATTGAGCATGCCACCAAAGACCAGAGTGCATCGATGGATTGGCACTCCGTTAGAAAGCCACGAGTAACATCATCCCGATTTAGAGAGGTTTGCCATGTACGGGGGCAGAGCTCTGCTGAACACTTGGCTGAAAGAATCTACAAGGGAACTCGCCAGACAGCAGACATGAAGAGAGGCCTTGAACTGAAATCTGCAGCGGTGGAGGAATACTGTCTGTTGCGCGGAGTGAACTTCTTTATATTTATATTCATTTGTTATTTATATTTACATGTTTACAGAAACACTATCAAAGTTACTTATATTTACAGAAACACTATCAAAGTTACTTATATTTACATGTTTACAGAAACACTATCAAAGTTACTTATATTTACATGTTTACAGAAACACTATCAAAGTTACTTATATTTACGTTTACAGAAACACTATCAAAGGTGCTTTAAATATTTACATGAATATGAAATATGAAGATTCTGTCATCATTTACTCACCCTCCACTTGTTCCAAACCTGTATGAGTTTCTTTCTTCTGTTGAACACCAAAGACGATATTTTGAAAAATGTTAGTATCCGAACAGTTCATGGGCACCTTTGACTTCCATAGTGTTTTTTTAGGGAGTCGATGGCTCGATCAAATCATCGCTCTTGAAGTGACGACTGCAGACTCTTGTGTTAGGAGTGGTATTAAAATCCTCACGTCAGATATAGTGAATCCATTTTTTATGTGTTTCCTTGTCCAAAGGGAAAGTATGGAAACTAACCACAGAATTAAACCTTGAGGATGTCACATAACGAGACACAGCATGTTGCACCTTCACATCGAAGGCACTTGAAGCTTCTTGAACTCATTAATAAAACGTTATATTTTAATATAATATACTAAAATGTTATGTTACTACAGTTAATAAAATATACTGTATAATATAAAATAATTATTTGTAATCACTAGTTAATCGAAATTTGACAAAGACCACGCTATTACATAATGTACATAGTTAAACACACCTAATATAAAGTGGGACCTTGTTTTGTAATATAATACTAAAACTATTGTATACATCAGAAGACATTTGAAGTTTAATACAGTAAAATATATGATGTTTGAGAGTGGAGACAGACTTAGTTTTACTTTAGCTTATGGCCATTTTTTAATAATTTATCATCAGTTTATGGAATAAACAGCTGAATAAATAAGCTTTCCAGTGATGTATGGTTTGTTAGGATAGGACAATATTTGGCTGAGATACAACTATTTGAAAATCTGGAATCTGAGGGTGCAAAAAAATCTAAATATTGAGAAAATCATCTTTAAAGTTGTCACATTTGCAATTTAATCTAATTTATACCTGGTAAGAAATGGCTTCTTCACCTAAACATTACAGTTTTTCCTTTTAGACAAAATCTCACACTCTAGTAGTCTCCTAATTTTCAGCACATAATTGGACAACATACAATGAAATAAGTTTTTCCACCAATACATTAAACTCAGAGTTTCTGTCAACTCTTTTATCAGGTGTATATCATGTTCTATGTAAGTTTCTGTTCAGCGTGTGAACAGGACTTTTATTTTGGTGTGGTGATGTGACGTCATAAGGCTGCGCCGCGCTCTCGCACATGTTGTGATTCGACTGAAGAAAGGTTTGTGTTTAAAGTGTAGAAACCGTTCGATCAACTCTAAACGTTTATAAACGGCGTAGAATTGAATGTTTATTGTTGACTGTAACCTAATTGGCTGCAACTCAATACTTTATCTAAAATGTATATATGTATAAAGGTTATTTTTGTGATCCACACACGACTAACACAAACGTTGTGTCTCGTTGCACTCCGTATATCGTGAATCCGTTTATCACAAACATGACTTCAGGCGCTGGCTTTTCAAACTCCGAGTCGGTCGAATTCAATGATTCGCTGACGTCACAAGCTGGTCAAAACCGTTAATTCAACGCAAACGTGTTTAACGAAAAAGAAAATATTTGCATTAAAGTGCAGTCGATTAAATGTGATCAGCAAGTAATTAGATACCAAGTATCATAAAGTCGTAAATACATTCATGTTAACTTTGATTATAAGTTAATTTATTAATTAGTACTAGTTTTGAGTGTTTTTTGTCTAGCTCATTTAGGAGTATGTACACTTTTTTTTTATTATGTACACAATTTTAATTTTGATTTATAATTATTATTAGTATTTTTTTGTTTTTTGACAGTTCTGCAGCTGTTACCTAGATGATTTTTTTTTTAATTCATTTATTAAATAAGGACTACATTAATTCATCCTTCTAATAATGTCTAAAAATACGTCTACCGAGCTCTGATAATGTATGGAATATTATATTAGCAGACTATCCAAATTTTAATAAAACAATAGGTCTATACCTTTAGAAGCACGGATGTGTCTGTCACCTTAAAGGGATAGTTCACCCCAAAATGAAAATTCTGTCATGTAGTAAAGCTCATGTTCTTATCTATAGAAGAATTAACCAGATTTATTATGGAGGAAGAAGGGTGCACTACCTGCTCTTTATGGAAAACGGATCACTTTATTAACAGTTTCATTAGAAAAAGGGAGGCGTTGTGTAAATAAACATCTAAATGCAACAACCATTTACTCTGTACGTCCTCGCTAGAACAAACGACGAGGGTGTGGATAGAAACTTTAAAACTTATAGATGCAGCATTCACACAACAGACAACTTTGCTTGAGGTTTTAAAACCCGCGCAGGTTTAGCGCATGCGTGAAAAGGCCTTTGCGGCGCGCGTTCTCGAAACTCTGTCGCTATGGAAACAAAGACGCCAAAATGCAATCACGCGCAAATTAGCTCCTCTAATAATTCTTATGAAATTGATTTCAATATACTTGCTATTAGTATTACGCACACTGCCGAATCGTTATTTGCTGATTCAACTATGGACAAATTGAGTTGGACAAAAAAGTTGAACAAATCGCAATTGCTTTGTAATGCTTCGTAAACCGTATTGCTTTGATATGGGATGCATCATTTTACCTTTAAATACGTAGTATTTTATAGAACTTTAAGGGATGGGTGGCAACCCTAGAGCTGATTTAGTTTGCATTTATTTTTCTTTCTGTTATTCTCATCTTAAACAGGACAGAGTGTCCAAACACACAGAAAAACTCCCGCCGAAGCGACTGAGACACACGGTTATAAAGATGGCGTTCATTAAAGAGGAGAGTGAAGACATTAGGATTAAAGATGTATTCAGCATGAAACAAGAAGATCCTGAGACACAAACAAAGATGGCGTTTATAAAAGAGGAGAGTGAAGACATGAAAACCGAAGATGTGTCCACATATGAAGATACTGAGACACAAATGTTTATTAGAGAGGAGAATGAAGACACGAAGAATAAAAAAGCATTCAAAGTCAAACATGAAGATGCTGAGACACAAACAGGTTGGTGTTTATTCTCAAAGCTGAACTCACTCATCTGAGCCTTATTCAAATGTCCAGCTCTACAGAAATGAAAGATATTTGTGAAGAATGTCATATAAGTGTCCTAATTAAAGTGGTTTTATTTGACACGGAGCGGGTCGACGCATGTGGACAGACATGACCAGACAAATACTAATGCTGGCTGTCGGTCCATGTTGGTTATTCGTTATTACGACACGTCACACATTCAATTAATAAATAATGCAGAAGTTGCTTAACCAAAAAATTATTTTGTGTAACATTAAACCTAATATCTACTTTTGAATTGGAAACGATGAAAACCATTGATTTCTATCAATTAATTATGCGACGGTATTTAACAAAAACATTTATTTTGCGTGAGGTGAACTCTAAAATGTGGGTAATCAGCTTTACATTTGATAGAGTTACTGCTGCTGTCCGCAGTTGTTCTTCATTTAAAGAGCTTTGATGAGCAAACAAAACCACCGTTGGACACTAATTTTATAACAAACTTAATTTTTTATCAAGCATCTGTTTGCTCAAGTTCAGTTGTAAATATAGCATCATAAGTTGATCTAGGATGGGTGTTTCTTCTCCTGCGGCCTGATGTATAAAATGGGCATATGGGGAATTACAAAATAAACTAGGCATAAATATGTACAGACACTTTAGACCTTGCTTATGCACTCTTTTAGTGGAGTGAGTGAAGCACTGAAGTAAACTTGATTTAAACTGTTTTACATCTGATATACACTTTTAGATTAAATATGTCACTCCGCACTCAAATGACATGAAATCATTATCCAGAAGTTACAACTTTTTTTATATGCATTTAAAGAGAAATGTTTGTAGTGGATGCACTTTTCCTGCGGCATTCTGTGTTTTCATGTTTTAACTAGCGAGGATTGCTTGGCACATGATGATTCCATTATAAATTGTGTTCTACATAGCAGAACTCGTGTTCTGAGAAAATATTATCAATCATGCACTCTTGACTCTAAGCAGATGGCTTAGCAACATAGACGGTATAATGACAGACACCAAAGGACTCGCTCGGTGATGGATCGGTCCATTGGCCGCTTTGAATAAGAGGCTCACACTGTACTGTACAGGGCTCGCAACATTATAATCCAAAATCCCTGGTAGCGCTTCGGGCTGGCACTGTTGAGATTTTGGTAACCTGAAAAGAATTTAACTAGCCCAAAAAATAAAAATAAAAAGGCAATTTTTTTATGTTGATAATTGGACCGGAGTCGAAACGTCAATCAAAAACAAAAACACAATGCAGCCACGCTATAGTTTTAGTTCATTATCTACCATGATGTGCAGCTTTTCGTTATCCAAATCTTTCAGCCATTTTTCTCTGGAGAGGTGAAATTAAGGAGTTTCAACCGATCGCAGAAAGAATTGGGGTAACACTTTATAATAACTTTCATTAATAAATCAACAAACATTATATAATGTTTAACTAATCATTACTTAATATATATTGACATATCTAGAAATATGACATAATGTGCTTGTTAATGTTAACTAATGAACTTATTAAACATTAAATAATGATCTGTTAATCATTTGGTAATGTAAATTGAAATGGTTACAAATGTCATTAAACTTTCAATTCATATGATCATGCATTTTTATTTTTAATCTTCAAATGATTTTGACAGATGGTTTACAATGATTAATAGCTTCATTAATAAATCGTTAACAAACAGTATATAATGCTTAACGGATCATTAGTTAATGTTTACAAATGTCATTAAATTTTCAATGCGTTTTAAAAATCTACAAATGATTTTAACAGGAATTATGCAATATTTACAAGCTTATTTGTTAATGTACTTTTGAATGCTTACAAATGTCATTAAACTTCAGTTCACATATTAGCTAATGCTCATTTTTACATTTACAAATGTTGTGAAGATATAGCTTAATTAGTCATTTTAAGCACTTCACAAACTATTCATGTCACAGCCACACTAATCACAGTCTGTAAAGGTCATATATTTGGTCTTTGTTTGTTGTGTAGACTTCTACTATTTGCACATCTTAAATCATTTATGAATTATTTGTTAATGTTTTTGCAGTACCCAATTTAAAGTGGAGACTATTCATAATTGGTAAATGTTTATAAACATTTACAAATTTTTTAGTATCTTGGCACTGGACTTTTAGCTACTTTAACAACATTTGTGTAAAGGGTGGTTAGTTAAGTTTAGCTAAATGTTTGGTAAAAACATTACCCACATTGTAATTTGGCAGTTACGGCAGTGTGGAATTTGAACGTGCATGAGTTATTTTATTTAGTCTGTGTTATTTTAATGTTTCGTTTTTTTTTTACCTAAACCATAGAGACTCTGATGTTGATGTGTCTGCATTCAAGCATTTCAGTGGGCTTAAATAGATCACCCTTTACAGCAGATTTAGTTCACAAACTGACAGTTTTGACCTAAATATGATTTTCAGTTACAATAATTAATCCTAAAATTCGACATTAGTAACTTACTTTTAGCAGCATCAGTCTCGCGCACTCACAAGATTTGAGTGCAAAACATGTTTTTATCACCTCAACACTTATATTAGTATAATATTGTGAATCGTTAAACAGAATATTCCTTGAATGGGGGAATATTCAATTACTCTTTTGAATTACTTCAAAAGAGTAATTGAATTCTTGAGTAATTCAATTACTCAAGAATTACTCAATTCTTGAGTAATTGAAGAAAATACTTCATTTATCAAAACAATGCAATATAAGAACGATGTGCATGATCTTATGAATTAGAAGTTTAATGACATTTGTAAGCATTTTAACTTACATGAAATGTTAATTATTAGGTAATGTTTAATACATTTATTAGTAAACATTAACAAGCACATTATTTCACGTTTCTAGATATGTGAATATATATATATAAACTAATGATCCGTTAAGCATTACATAATGTTTCTTAATGATATCTTAATGAAAGTTATTATAAAGTGTTACCAGAATTGGTTCCCTGGTAGAGAGTTGAGAGTGATTGGCAACAGCTTTGATGACATCCAGACGGCATTGCGGAAAGTCAGGCAAGATTCGGCCAAAGATAAGCAGGCCGTCGATAAGCTGCAAGACAAGATGGCGAGACTGGAAGACAAGAGTCGTCAGTGCAATATTTGTCCCGTTTGTCTTAAAAAAAGGGAAGAGGGCAGCGACCCTGTAGTCTTCATGCAAACTCTACTATCCCTGTGGATTCCCTCCCTTAAAAGCAGATCGATCGAGATAGATCAGGCACATCAAATATATACCGGTGACGGCAACAGAAAGGGTCCGCGAACACTGATCTTCAAACTACTGCGGTTTCAGAACAGAAATGCGATCCTCAAAGGAGCCCAAGCCGCGGGTCAAATACTCCACAAGGGCAGCTCGCTTCTTTTCTTCCCCGATTACAGTAAATAAACCACCACGAAAAGATGCGAGATGAATCAGTCTAGGAAGAAACTCGCACAACTTGAGATCTCTTATTTCATGATCTATCCCGCCACGCTCCTTGGATCAACTTCACTTCTCAAAACGCCAGCTGAAGTGGAATCTTACACAGGCTCTCGTCACACCTCTGCTATGTGATGACACGCCAGCCCATCATTTCTAGGAACAGGCGTAAATACACTTCTAACATCGCGATTATGGCGAGCAATACTCTAGTGAACTGTGGTGCCGAGTTGGCCTTTGGACTCAAGTGATTGACTGTTATGCTGGCAACGTATCCAGACGAGGCTGTTGTATTGGCACGAAGGAGAGTTACCATATTGACCCGAATATAAGACAATGTTTTTTTCTTGGAAATACATCTGAAAAAACGCGGTCGTCTTATATTCAGGGTCTAGACTTTGACATGTCAATAATACACCCACAACAATAGGTGGCGCCAAATACGCATAAAACGAGTGTGCCATGAAATACGTAATGTAATGCGTGTTGTAAAGATCGCGAGTAAAAACAAAAGAAAAAGAAAAGCTTACAGCTGCATGAGTCGTGACTGTCACGTTAGCCTGATGGGACCAAACTCCCTTTGTGATTTTAAAACGTAAGACAGTACCCAGATTTGAGGACTACAGTAAGATTTAACTTCTACTGTTAATAAGATTTTGGTAGGCTACTATTAGATGGATAGCACTATCTGCTTACTACCTTCTCATTCAGTTCTTGTTCTTGTCCTCTTAAAGTTCCAGATGCCATGATTTATCCACGCAAGTCCACTGTTTTACACTCAAGAGGATGTACATTATTATATCCTTATTAAATCTGATTTATGGCACTTAACATAATATCTTGGAATGTCAGTGGTTTAAATAGTGCCGTTAAAAGAACTAAATGGTTGGACAGGCTTCTGTTGAACTAATACAGGAATCTCATTTAAAGGCACCCTTTTCAGAATAGGCACTATAAATTAGTTTCTTCTTCATCTGCTAAGAAAACTAATGGTGCGTTCACACCAGACGCGAAGCGAATATGCGCATCGCGCCACTCGCTCTAGATTACTCGCGGCATGTTTTTCGTGTCACTCGCGCGAATAAAAACAGCGCGATCAACCATGGTGGAGATAACTACAATCGCTGTTTTGTACCTGTTGTCAAAAAGTCCCAAATACAATGGAAAGCCAAACGCCGACGTGTCTGGGTTCACAGCACCATCCAGAGGAGGATGAATAACGTTAGGATCCTGTATTAATGTGTGTTACATTTTACTACTGTATATATACACTGATATTCCTTATTATTTGTATTATTGATAGCAGCATCTCTGTAGCCATGCTAATAAAATACAACTACTACAACTGATTTTAATTGTTTTCTATGCTCCAGACCTATATAATAACAGACGGCTGCAATAATTCTCTCTTAT